GGTAAGTTGTGGCTGGGTACCCGGCAGGCTCACTTCAGTTTTGCAGCCCAACAGCCCCGTCTGTCAGTTCCTCCCTGTTGTTTTTCCTTCCAGCAGGCAGCAGTCCTGGTGTCTGTGTGTGCACGTGTTCCTCTTGCTCTTGTCTCTGTCCCGTGTGCTCAGTAACACGGGGAAGAATCGTTTGTGTTTAAACGGTCCCAAAGTCTCTCTGCCATCCTGCTGGTTTTCCTCATTCACCACCACAGCCAGGTGCACGTTTGCCACCACGCAGCTCCTGTGCAGCCCATGCCATTCATTCCTCCTCCCAGGGTAGTGCCAGTTCCCAAGCTCCTTCCATGCTTCCCCCTCCATGCCTGCCTGCTTCTCCCAGCTCCAGGTGCTCCGTCGGGAACTCTTCCAGCGCACCCGCTCTCTGGAGGTCTCGCCGTGTCTTTGTCTCATCTCTGGGAGAAGCTTTTGACCTTTTCAGTGGTTGCTTTTTCAGGCGTATGTGATAGGATGGGCCTTGGGGTCCCTAGGATGTTGGGAACATCCGATTTTAAAAGTACTGCACGGCAAATGAAGGAGGCTAAACACTGGATTGATGTGTCTGAGTTGGACGCCCTGTTTATTTCAGCTCAGATTGGTTTTTACTGACTCCAGAACTGCATCCTATTCTTTTAAGCTGGTGTTCAAAAAGGTATCAGCTGCGTCAAACCCTCTGAAGTGCTCAGAAATTGAGCCCCGTGTTGTGGGTCTGTTTTGTTGGCTTTGTGCTCCTGCAGTGGGTTTTTAGTGCTGCCAGGCCCAGCTGCTTGAAAACTGTTTGTCAGGCTCCCAAAATTGCACTCAACATAATCACAACAGTTATTTTTGTTCATCTGTTTCACTGTGTTTCTGGTGGTTGAATGATGAGGAGTCAGTTCTCCCAAGAGAACAGAGGCACCTTTCAGTCCTCTGTCTCCCCTGGGGTCTCTGCAAACCCTTCCCTCTGCTTCCTTTAGAGTCAGGCCCTTGCTAAAGCTTCCCCAGTCCTAGGGCGAGCAGAGAGCTCATGCTGCAAACTACTCTGCTGTCAGATGGACATCATTTCCACCACATTCAGTGAAGTGAGGCTACTGGACAGTAGGATATGGTCCCTATGGATCCGCTGCTTCTCTCCATCTTTTCTTTTAGCCCACCCCCAACTTCTCTTCCCCCAGGTGAGGACAGCAGCTGAGCACGTCTGCTTTCTGGAGCAAACAAAGCTGATCATCTGGAGGAAGTGAATCAAAGCTGGGGCTCTGTCTGCCAAAGCCTGGGATTTTAAAGTCCACCTGATAGATCCAGGCTGCCCTGTAGCAAGCCACCATGAGGTGTGGGCAAGCCTTTGGCCTCCCCATCAGCTTGGGGAAGCATCTTCTCCATGAGCTCCGTGCTGCCCTTTGGAAGGAAAGCATGTCCTCCCCTGTGCCACCAGCTCAGACACAGCATGAGATGGGAAACAGAGTTAGGGTCAGGGTGGTGATGTTGCTTGCCAGCCTGTGTGTCAAGACTGGTCTTTTCAGCATGGGCTGGGACAGGACTCGTGGGACACTGGGCAGTGGCAGAGACCAGGGGCTGAGGGAGCTACAGGCTCTGTCTGCATCCAGCACTCAGGGCCAGGAGTGTGGGGAGTTCATCCACATCTCTGCTGTGAGGATGATACAGGAGATGCACAGAGCTGGGAAAGGGAAGGAAAGAAAGACAGACCATTAGTATGGCCACAGTGTTTTAGTCTTTCATACCTACCTGTGCAATGAACTCTGAGCCCTGCTGTCTCTTTTCCAGCAGCAAAGCAAAGGAGGCAAAGCCAACCAAAACAGTTCAGTTCCTCTACTTTTACACCATGACGGGGCAGTTGAGAAAGAAGGGATGGGATGAGACCCATGTGGACAGAAGGTGGAGGGAAGGTGGCTGTAGTTGCATCTGTCTTCTCCTCCCTGCCTCTCTCTGCTCTCTCCCTCCCTGCTTTCTTTCTCTCTTTGCTCTCTCTCTCTCTCTCTCTCTTTCCTTTTTCATCTGTGTCTTGTGTTTTACAGTGTTGCCTGTTTGGAGGAAGGAGTTGTGTCCTCGCAGCACCCTCCTGCTCCCTGCCTGGACAGCCCTGCTAGGAGGTCGGCTTTCTCCCCTTCTCCGTAGCCAGTGACACCCCTGGCCTCTTCTCACTGCCCCCCTCCTCTCTAGTTTTGCTTTGAGAGCCCCTGGGATGGAGAGATTGCCCTGGTGTTGCTCCCGTCCCTGGCCCCAAACCCTTCCTGCTGGAATGGAAAAGCCTTGCAGTGCAGAGGGGTCTTGTCTGGTGCTTGCTGTGGCTTGACCCTTCGAGGCAAATGAGAGTGGGAGCAGAGGTGGGTGCTGTGAGCCCCCCAACCCTTAGCAAGCCCCTCTTCAGCTGATACATGAGTCTGGACTGCTCCTGGTTGATCTTACCTGTCCTTTTGCCCCCAACTAACCCCCCTTTCTTCCCCACCTCCTCTTTCCCAGAGACTTGTGCCTGCCTGGGGCTGTGATGCTTGTCCCCTTGCTCTCCATAGTGTGTGTCACGCTTGCCTGTGCAAGTCCAGTGGGCAGGGATTGCAGCTCCCTCCCCAGTGTCCAGCAAAGCCTTCTGGAAGCTCTGAGGAGCTGTCTGTGCTCAGATGTGGTTCTTCTCCAGGAATGCTCCCCTATGGAGCTGGTGCTGGAGCCTGCTGGGTGTCACAGGCAAGGCTTGCAGGAGAGCTCAGGGTCCCCAGGGCTTGCCTAAGGTTCTGCACAGCTTGACAGCACGTGAGGGATCAAGCCATGGGGTCAGGCAGGGTGCAGAATGAGCATTTCTGCTCTGTGCCTTGGTTTCCCTGCCTACAAGGGGGAGGAGGGCCAGGAATCAGAGCAGGTCTTGGTCATAGCACAGTCTCAGGTCCTTGCTCGTTACGTCCACCCACAACAAAATTGGTGCCAAAACTCCCACTGGCATCTGCAGGGCTGTGTGGGACAGGCTGAGGTTCAGGCTGTGAAGGGACTTCATGTGCTGCTTCTCTGCAGGTTTGCTTGCTTAAGAAGGGTGAGAAATGTCAGGGCAGTGTTCTCCATCAGCCCTGACACCTGCATCCTCACCCACTGCTCACTTGCTCCCCAAGACAAGGGTGTGATTTGGATTTCAAATTGCTTCGTGCCTGGCTTGTACACGTGTTGTTTTTAAAAAGTGAAACAGGAGCAGGAGGTGTGAGCAGCATCAGAGGGACATGCACAGCTGGGAGTGGTTCCTGGTCCTTGGGAACTGCTCATAAACTCCTGCTGCAGGGAAGCTGGGGGGATGATTGAAAAGGCTGGGTCGAAGTGGTGACCGTGTCCCTCTTTCCCCTGTTCCTTTGTAGACCATTAGCTCTAAGGACGTGGCCAGTGCTTCCCAAAGAGCCAAACCCAATCCCCAGGCTCTCCTGTGCCCATGCCATGGGCCCTTTTCACTGCTTGGCAATGTGCAGCCAGACTCCTGAGGGCTCCAGCCTTGCTCCTGCCCTGCAGATAAACCACCTTGGTCTGAGCAGGGGAGGAAAGCAGACCCATTGCCACTGTCCACTCCCTGAGCCACCCCAGCAGGCTCTGGAGGGCTTTGTGTTCCCACCACGCTCCAGCTCTGTGCTTGCCTTGCTCTTTGCTACTGGTGGGACTGCTCCATGTCTGCCTGCTGTGTCCATCTCACCTTGGCCTCAATGAATGTTTGTCCTGTGTCCTCATCAGTGTTCAGCACGGGTTAAATCTGTGTCCTTTCCTTGCCCCAGCTCCTCAGGGCTTTTCTCTTGAGTCTTAAGATGGGGTTGCTGGGCAGTGCTGGGTCTCTCCCAGGGCTCTTCATCCTGCCACACAGCAGCTCCCTGGCCTTTCCAACAGCAGCTTGCAAGAGGAGGGGAAGGGAACTGAGCTGCTGCAGGGAGGAGAGAGACAGGCTGTGTGGTGAAGCCAGATACAGGTGTCTTTGTCCTCTCCAGCCAGAGCATCCTGGGTATGGCCACAGCAGGGGACAGGGATTCTGAGGATGAGGCCTCAGCAAAGAGACCTACCCCTGTGTGAGCTTTTTGGCTGCTGAGGGTTCGGCCGCCAGTGCCAGGTACTGTGGGACAAGGTAGTGAGTGTCCAGGAGGCACTAAGCCCCATGCTGAGGAAGACTTTCTGCTGCCTCCTGCCCTGTCCTCTGCCACAGAGCTGGTCGTTCAGTTTTGACTTCACAGGCAGGCTGGTGGCACCACTGCTGCTGGGGAGAAGATGTGCCAGCTCCCCTCCTGGCAATGAGGACCCTCAGTTTGTGTTGCTCTCCCTCAGCATGTGCTGCTCATTCTTGATGCTGGCTGGGAGCTGCTGGAGGGGGGGACTCAGACGTTGGGGAGACTCACAGGGTCAACCCCACCTCTGGCCTGTCCCTCAGGGCAGAATGTAGCTGGAGGAGATGTGCTGGGAGTCCTGCCGATGGCCCGCAAGGAGAAGATCTTGTGCCTGCTTCCTATCCCTAACCTCTGCCAAGCATGGGGGAGATGCTGAGCCGGGCATGTCGGGGTGGCATGGAGGGTGCAGGGGCTGGGCTGGTGCCAAGGCCAGGAGCACTGAGCCTTTGCCAGGGCTTGGGGGAGGCAGGGGTGGCTGGAGGCTGGGGCAGCTGGCATGCAGAGCTGAGCCCCGGGGCAGCAGGGTGGGCAGCGCCCTGAGCCCGGTGCCTTTCTCTCCTTGTCCTCCTTGCAGACCTGGGCACTCCCAGCCCGTGCCTGAGCGTGGAGTGCACCTTCGGGGCCACCTGCGTGGTGAAGAACCAGGAGGCTGTGTGTGAGTGCCAGCAGGTCTGCCAGGGCCGCTACGACCCCGTGTGCGGCAGCGACAACCGCACCTACGGCAACCCCTGCGAGCTGGACTCCATGGCCTGTGTCCTCAAGAGGGAGATCAAAGTGAAGCACAAGGGGCCCTGCGGTGAGAGCCCTTCTCTGGGGGTTCCTTCTTGTGTTGGGCTTGCTTGCTGGGGGCAGGTGATGTCTTAAGCATCAGGAGATAAGGCTGTTGGGGTGTCTTTCCATGGGGAGATAGAGCTGTTGGATAAGGCTGTTGGGGTGTCTTTCCATGGTGAGACAGGGCTGTTGGGGTGTCTTTGCACTTTGGTTGCCACCATGTAGCATCTGCAACTCAAACCCGTGCACAGCAGTTCCACCTGCAAGCCCTCTCTTTGCACCAACACAGCTCCTTGGAGTGATAACTCCTTTGCAAGTGAGTTATTGCAGAGATAAATGTCTTCTCTGCACTGAGCCTGCGTGTGCCTGGAGCAGGAGGGCTGAGGATCCCGCTGAGGAGGTGGCAGGGTGCTCAGAACTGCTTCTACATGTGCCCACCCTGGTAAACTAGAGGAAGATAGTGTCCCCCTTCCCAGCTGACCCCCTCCTGCTGGCCTGCCGTGTGGGAATTCTGGCACCTCTCTCCCAGGGAGACCAGCCTCTTGCTGCTCCTCCCGAGGCTGGGACTGATTTATTGCTCCTGCTAATTGCCCTCAGACCCCGTGCTCTCCCCACCTCCTGTTCAGCTGTCACGGCACAGCCCCATGACACTGCAGCCCCGTTAATCCTGGCCCTGATGGCTTTTATGAGTAGTTACTGCTTCTCTGCC